TGATATATCTTTATACAAGATACATATATATATCTATAAACGTAAACCTACTTACAAGTTTTGAGTAAGGAAAAAAACAATATCTATCTTTGGAAGTAAGAAAATAACTCGATATCTAACGAAAGACTATTATTTCCCTAACACCATCTATTTTCACGAAACTTAACGATGAAGTGTAAGACGAAACTAAAATACGATTACACTCATAATCCTATTGATGTACACCCTTTTATTTACTTAGGCTTTACATAAGCTTGTTTAGATGATAAACTAATTTCTATATACCAGCGTTGTCCAAATTTGTTATTTTCTTCGGATTACATTTGAAGACAAAAAAAAAATTAGTATTATAATAAATTTGCAGTAAGAGTCAACAATTGAAATATAATTTCTTTTATAATAAACTATCCTACCTTTCAAGTTGGATGAAACTGCACACAGTGTGCAAAATTTGATTAAAATCGGTTCAGTAATTTAGGAAGTTCATTGCGAACAAACAACGTGACACGTAATTTATACATATTAAGAAGGTTTATTTTATAATACAATTCATTATAAATGATTTAATCAATATGTTTTTTTTTTGTTTAAATTCTTTGCATTATTTAATTTAAAATTTAAATATTCAAAAATTATTTAAGTAATTGTACTGTATAATGTCAAGTATTGCTCAACATCAGATTTTTTTTTATTTCAAACTAAACTCGACATTTTCAACGACAATTTGACGATTTTTGAATCACGTATAATCACAGTTTTAATATATGCTATTTTTGTAACGCATTTATACGAATTAAATTCACGGTAAATAATATGTTGTATCGTTCATTCTAAAGATGTATAGGTGTAATTTATTCGAAGAAGAAAAAAAAAATATGAAAACAACAATAAAAAAAAAAGGGAAAAACTTGTTTCACGATCCATTATAAGATTAATGATCGTCTATATTCGTTCATTCTTATTTCTCAATACTTTCCGTGAAATAGAATAACACGTAATTTAACTACATAATGATACCGACTGACAAATCTATATTTATAATCTAACGATAGGAAATATACAGGGTGTTTCACTTTTTCTCGGCCCAACTTTCAGAACTTAGATACTTTTATTACGAAGTTATAAAAGAAAAAGTATTTACCATTATGTATATACAATAATGACTGTAAAACTTTGACACAAACCTGTCACAACCTATTGTGCATTCATCCATATCATGAAAACTCTTGAAATATTTCAAGATTCGCATACGAGAAGAATATTTTGAAATAAAAAAATACAAATTTGAAACCATTCATATACTGTAAAAGAAAATTTATTGAAAATTCATTAGAAATTCATTCATGAAGCAGATACGTTGAGTTAAAACTTTTAAGCGTCAAAAAAAAGAATGTTCCATTTGGTTTCATAAACAATTCCAAATTGTAGCGAAGACTACGAAAATTTGCAAATAATTCCTAACCTAACTTTTTACCTATTACTATTTATAATCTAAAAAATAATTCTATTTAAATTTTGATTAGCTATATGTTTTGACACTTAAAGTGTGTTAAAATTAACAATATTATTTACAGACTATATCACGTTATTTGTAATAACTTTTCAGATAAAGAGTTTTTAAACAAACTTTATACAACATTTTGTCCTTATTTCAACTTGTACAATAAGTTTGCACAGTTTTACCAGAAAAACCTGAGACACTCTGTATGTACGTACCAACATATACCCATATATATGTATATGTATAACATGTTTATACGAAGAGGGATTGTAGTTTACTATTGGTGGGAGACACGTCAGTCTTACACAAAGTTAGCTATTGGAATCAAGGATTCTTGAATGCGTAACTAAAATTGTGTGTTGGTTGGTAGGATGGCGTGTAACGGTTTAAGCCTGATCGAACAAATTGCATCTTCCGTTTACGTTTTGTTACCATCGAATCGTGCGATATATAATAATCTTGGTATCGTATAAATCTAATCACAACTAAAGGAATGCGGTTAAACTAACAGTATCTCATTTGTTGTTGTTCAATAGTGAGGGAAGAGAAGACGAAAGAGGAGGAAGAGGACAACTAACATCATCATCAACGTGGTTATCGAAAATTTCTGCTGGGAAAAATCGATATTGGGAAGAAAACGAAGAAGAAGAAGAAGAAGAAGAAGAAGCAGAGGAAGAAAAAGAAAAAGGAAAGAAGAAAAAAAGAAGATTAGCAATAACATTAGAAAAAAAAGGATTAATTAAAAGAGAAAAAAGATCAGTTTGTAAGATAATAATAATAATAATAATTATTATTATTATTATTATCGATAAGAGATATATATTTGGAAAGTGGAGGAGAACGGAAAGAAGAAGTTGGGAAGGAGAAGAAGAAGGAGGAGGAGGAGGAGGTAGTATCGAAAGAAGAGGGATAAGGTGGTCCTGGAGGTGGAGGTGGTATCGGTCGAAAGACGAGGACGGAGGTGGCGGTGGAGGTGGTGGAGGAGGAGGTGGCAGTGGCATCGTCGAAAACGAAAACGACGACGACGACGACGACGACGACAACGGTGGTGGTGGTGGTGGTGGTGGGAATAAGAGGGTAGGCCGGAGGTGACCATTCACCCCACATGGACGCCACCCTCGAGAAACCACCCACATCCTCAAAAGTGGATATCTTATCGTCATTATATCGAAAGGAAATATCCGAGCGGAGCGCGAGAGAAGCGCTACGCTCGAGGACGATTGTTCCTCTTATCCTCCGGGGCCGTTTTTTGGCCGATTTTCGAGGATTATTCGTCGCCGTTCCTTTAACAACGACGACGACGACGACGAAGAAGAAGAAAACGATCAAAACAATCAATACAAAAACAATAGCAACAACAACAACAACAACGACAACGACAACGACAACAACGACGACGACGACGACGACAATTTCTCAACAAAATTATTATCCATTAACGTTAACTTTAATTATTTCTTATTTTGTTGTTATCGACGAAGACGACGAAAACGACGACGACGACGGTGACGACGACGACGACGACAACGACAACGAAAACAAAAAGGACGAGAAGAACGCGGCGTTGGCACCAACAAACACGTTTAATGCGTTTATTACGACACACGTATCATCATCATCATCATCATTATCATCATTACCTTTACTATTACCATTATCATCGACGCGCGTTGTTGTTGTCGTCGTTGTCGTTGTTGTCGTCGTCGTCGTCACGCATATAAAAAAAGCCATATCGATAGAAGACTCCGTCCAAATTAAGGGCCTAATCGGATATTTTAACGAGCCTAATCAGCGATTATCGTCGACGAAAAATGTCGCGCAGCGCAACCACGCGTCCGATGCAAGGTAAGTTTTTTAATCTTTTTCTTTTATTATCCCCTTTTTGTTTTAACACCCACCCCTTCCCCCTCTCTTCTTTTCATTTTAAGAGAATTTTTAATAATATTAAGGTAAACACAAGGTTTGTGCGTTTATTGTGTTACAAATTATGTTATTTTTGGTTCATCCCAATAGCTTCGTTGTAATATTGGCTCGTTCGGAAAGTAATTTAGCTTTTTTTTTTTCTTTACCACAAAGTCTTTTGACAGTCAGGTAGCTTTTAACGACGTACAAATAAACCTCAAAATTATTGTACATTTTAGCAATGGACGACGCAATTTAGAATCTTCTTCTTGCTACAAATATAATATTCTAAAATCTTTAAATTTGTCGAATAATTTATTTGTGATATCAGAAATGTGAAAATTAAAAGGAAAATTTCTTTTTTGTTTTGTTTCTTTTTTATCGTAACGGGGTAATAATAAGATACGTTTGAGAAAACACAAAATGATGTGCCGTTTAAACAGAAAATAAGATTATTATTATTTTTCGACAWTTCGATTTAAACGATAATACCACATTTAAATACACATTTAATAATAATCAGCATAAATAGCATTAATTGATGCTAATTGCCGCATAACAACGTAGACACAAACTCGATAATTACAGATCATTAAGAGACGAATTAGATTTTAGATATGACACATAAATAAATATATATATATATATATATATATATATATATATATAATAGTTCTTGTTTTATCATTGAACAAAAAAATCTACAATTACTTTCCGAACAACCTAATAAATAAACACTCGTAAAAAAAAAATTAACCGAGATAAGGATCCTGAAAGATCCACGTTGTAATCCCAATTAAAACAACGGTCCAATTTGGAATTGTTTTTTTTCTCATCACAATACCTCTCGATACTCGATGATTCTTTTCTTATGATACAAAAATATAAAACTAAAGAGATTGGATTGATAGACTGTGTGTATGTGGTGGTGGAGGGTTACTCAATCTTATTTCTTCGTTGGTCGCACATTGGCGCCGATAGAAAATCGATGATTAAGAAAATAAATAAAAAGTCATTAGGTTTGCAAACAATAAGCGTATTTAAACATTAATTTGATTTTTGATTTCGTTTATAAAAACGCACCCCTAGTCACAAAGGATCGCAAGTTGAGATTGAAATAACCGTTAGTCTATTTTTGCTACTTAAAAATAGAAGAAAAAAAAGATAAATTCATGACCGAACATATTGAGTCATGCTTGAAACTTGACCGAAGCACATGTGAGAACTATTGTGTAAATTTGAATATGATTTTTAAACTCTTAGGTACAGCTGAATGCTGCGCAGGGCTGTTTCTCCGTGCGGCAGGGTTATAACTAATAACAAAATTAGTTATAGTATATTTAAAAAGATGTTATCCGCGAAAGCCACTATAGTGGCGTACAGTGCCTCAAAATTTAACGGTTAAAAATTGCCGCTCTATTTAAAATAGGTAGTTAATAGAGAAATCTTCTTTATCCATTGTTGTGGGATTTGTTCTCTTGCATATTAGTTTTAGCGTCGATGTCGCTTATGTTCATTTTAAGCTTTGGCGTCGGCGTCGTTATGTCCACGACGTTGGCGTAAGCGTCGTGACACGTGGCGCCGTCGAGGGGCGACGCCTCAAAGTCTCTTCGACGGCCGTCGAACCGTAATCTCATCGACGAGAATTGTGGAACCTCGACCTACGACGTCGTCGTGTGTCAGACGTACAGTTAAAAGGAACGAGAGGAAAACGAAAGAAAGAAACAGAAATAGAAAGAAATAGAAAGAGAAATAAAGAACCCAAAAGATAAAAAAAAACAAAAAAGAAACGAAAAAAAAGACAAGAGGAAGAAGAAATAGGACGGGTAGAGAGAAAGTGGTTCCAGTTAGAGTGGTATGCTGATTGTGAGTGCAAATTGGCCTGAACACCGTTTTACGCATACGATACTCCAACTTGGGTGATGGTGTTTCTATTCCTTCACCTACATTAACATTTTTTTCCTTTTTCAATTCCTATTTTCCTAATAGCAACTCTTATTCCACGTTCACCAATTATCCATAATTGGTGTTAATGTGTTGGTACTTTAATCAGAAGAACCCTCCCTCAAAAGAAACAAATGCGTTAGTTTGGATTCCGTGTATTTTATTATCCCTGCCGTCATGGAAACGTGATTGTAGTATAATTATCATCAACGTCATTTTATTCTAATCGAATATCATCATCATCATCATCATCATCATCATCATCATCATCATCATCATCCTTCTGGGAATACTATATTTGAGATTAAAGAATAATATATAAAGCCGGGTGCCAAATGATATTTGCTAACTTCGATGAGATCCTCGTGTTGCGGGACGTCGCCGCCGACGCCTGATATCGATCGTTCCTCTCTCCCTCCCTCCACCTCCACCTCCTCCTCTTCCTCCTCCTTCTCCTCCCCGCTTTCTCCACCTCCTCTTTTTCCTCTTCCTTCTCTTTCTCTTTTTCTATTTTTCTCTTTCTCTTTCTATTATTTCTAATTCTCTTCATCATTTTCTAATAATTCTTCCCTATTAGCAGCGTTCACCTTTTTTCTTTGAACTAACTCTCCTGATTTTCTAGCACTCCCTACAGCAGAATCCTGTTTCCTTTTTCAACTTTTTTTTTTGCGTTAAACTAGCAACAACCGTTCATGAGCCTGTATAACTAAACCATTACCTTTTTGGATGATCGTTGTGCGATGAAAGACGATACTATGACGACGATGACGACGACAATGATAAACAGCAGCGTGTACATAATATGAGATGTATATTTTCTTTCGGGAGTATGTACTTAATTTTGTACAAAAAAATGTCAAATAATTATTCGTTATTACAAACGTGTGTTGTAACGTCAATCTTTTTTAGTGGGGAAAAAAATAATATTTTAGCATTTAATTGTTAACGCATCTAACAATAAGTTATTTTTGTTGTTGTTCACCATTTGGATCATCATTTAGATCGATCATTGTTAGAATCAGGAGAAACGCCCTTAGGTTTTGATGATAGTATATCTTAAATTGTTGTTTAATTAAACAAACTATCGAAGAATTAATGTTAAAAGCACAAGTGTAACTATGAACAAGCGTGAAAAGTAACTTACTTATCATTGTGTCACTTTTTCGTGTAAGTTTCTTTTTTTTCAAATTGGTTTGTACGTTTGATGGAACGCGTGTTAGAAAAGGCTCAAAATGTCACGTGACAAGTAGGATGAAGAAAATATAAGTGTAGCGCTGTTTGTAAGGAAATATACACATATCTCGAATCGCGGGATCTTTTAACAACACAGTTGGTTGTGACTGACGAAATATACTCGTCATGAAGAAATTGTACTACTTTTTGTGTTATAATACAAGTGTACATGTGTCCTAATTGTAATTATTTTTCTTTAAATTATAAAATTGTTGTTATTATAACGATTACACTCGTCCGTGAGAATAAACAAAAGAAAAAAAAATAGAAAAATATAACAGTCATTTGATTAGAACATAAATCAATATTATTATAACGGTTAGAACGCGTACTCTTTATTTGACGAGTTATATACATCGTCGTTGTTTGATTTTTTGCAACACAATTAAGGTAGAGTCTTTTCAAAGAGATCAACCTAGCTATAGCTAATCGATTAAACATCAAATGTTAATTACTTTTTCCGGATGACGAAGTATACTCGTCAGTCACAGCTAATTGGTTGAACATTTACGCATTTTATTTGGAGGAATCATTAAAATAAACAAATTTAAAATTGTTAAATTATTATTTTTGTTAGATAAAAAGCAATAATTATATAATAAAAAGATTCCGTAACAATTATCGTTGTCATTGTCGTTGAACGTTAATCTCGAAATTTCCAATTTAAACAAAAAGTAAGACATATTATTGAGATCTCTTCAATTTATTTACTCAAAGGAACCCCGACGATGGAAGAAACAAATCATAAGTCGTAAAAAAATCGGTCTAAATCAATTAAAAAGAGAGGTAATCAGAAAGGAAAATATGCAGGAGGGAAGGGATAAAGGCAAGAAGGAACGTTAGGCGAGTGTGTCCCAAGTGTGCGCAGTTAAAAATGCGCCTCCCAGTTAACATTCGCGGTGGTAAGAAGACGACGAAGACGACGACAAGTTGTTGGAAAGAAGAAAAAAAAGGAAAGGAAGAGAAGAAAGTGGTCGGTGGTTGTAATACTACCTAGCGCGTTAAAGGGCGGGTTACGTCCTTTGAGAGATTCATGCCTCGCGGAAGCTGCGATGATACGGAGGGACGAAGAAGAGGAGGGTCCAAAAAGGGAGAAGAAGAAGAATGTAAAAGGCGAGCCGGACATCGTCGTCTCCTCGGCACCTCCTACGTGCCACGAAGACGAAGAGGTTGGCCATAGAGAGGGTTTATAGCTTGCGTAGGATAGACGATGAGCGTCGAGGTCGACACGCTGGAACTCGAAGTCTTCGAGGTGAGTCCTCATAAATACTCGAAGACAAATGGGACTTGGAGTCGAATACTCTTGATCTTAATGATGATTTATCACGAAAGAGATGAGATGATGATCTTCCAAACTTTGACCACAATATACCAAGTTTTTAAAATCCTTCGAAACAATTGAGAGTCTACAATTTATTATTAGTTTTTCTTTCTATTCTATCCTTCTTTCTAATTTTTTGTTGTTTTCTCTCGCGACGAATATTTGAACCATCTTTGATATCTATTCAAGATTCCAAATTTATTACCGGTCTTTCCAGTGTCTGCCTCTTGCATCGGACTCTACAGTTTCCTGTTATGCGGTTCGTTTGGCACGCGCGCGTCCAAACGATTATATTATATTATAGACGTATACTCGTTTCCGGTAGTTATTTTTGAAAAGATTAATTCGTCATTTATCTGCGAATATATCAAAGAAACGTAAAGAGAGGAATATCCTTAAGGAAGGATACAACGCGTCGTCGTGCCAAGCGATCTGTTTTCTTTATTCAAACTTATTGTTATCTAACTTTTCTTCGTTATAATGGGACGAAGGTAAAAGAGTGTGACGAGACCGATGTTACGGAAGGAAAAAGAACAACAGCAACAACGACGACGACGACGACGACGACGCCGACAGCAACAACAACAGGGACGACGACGACGACGACGACGACGAAAACTGTAGCAACAACGGCATCAACGGTAACTGTAACTGCTACAACAAAAACGGTGACTGTAACTGCAGCAACGACAACAACAGCGGCAACAGCGACTACGGTAACATTGACGATAACAACAACAACGACCACGACCACGAGTTCGACAACACCGGCAGCAGTAACAACGGCGAAAGAAAGTATCATGTGTGCCGTTGACACTAGTATTCAAGATGGAAACGAAAGTAGAAAAAAAAAACGTAAAAGGCGAAAAATGCGAAACAAAACGCAAATTCAACTGCAAGAACAACAACAAGACTTAGCGATTCATGCAGTATTGAATCTTCCATCCTCATCTGAAGAAGCTGTCCTCGAGGCAGCCGACGAATGTTCGAAAAGAGATTCATCGAGTAGCCTTGGCGGTACCAGTAGGCACAATACCACCCTCAGGGAATCCTTGCTTACTGTACTAGGCAAGCTGGTTATATGGAAGGGCAGCAGGTATCGTTCCGCAACTGCAGCTTCGTCCTCCTCCAGTGTGCCTCCGAATTCGCCACCTGCCACTGAATGTATCGGTCGTAGTACATCTTTTTTTTCTAGCGGTGAGTCTTAACCGCGTTAATCCTTCTATCTCTCGAAACCTGTCTACCAAAACAACCGTCTATTAAATCCGTCTCGTAATATCGGCCCCTTCCCTTATATGTATCGAGAAAAATAACGTCTTACTTGTACTTATGAGAATCATCGAGTTATCCGTCTTGACTCATATTTATTAATATATTTGTATACATTAATATCATTACATGTATATTCTTACAGAAACAGAGAGGCGTATACGCGCCAATAATCGCGAGTACAACTCACAGTTTAATTATGCGGTAAGATCTGATTGGTCAATTTTATTAACAAATTCAAGTTTAAATTGATTTGTATTTAATTTTTTTTTAATCGTCTGCACATATATCACAAAAGTCCTCTAATAAGATATAAAATCCATATAAAGCATTTCTTCCTTTTTTTTCTTTTGTTATTTTTATAGAACAACTACATAAAAACGTCCAAGTATTCGGTTCTGACGTTCCTACCATTGAATTTGTTCGAGCAATTTCAGCGGCTCGCCAACTTTTACTTCCTATGCCTGCTGGTGCTTCAAATGATACCCGCCATATCCTCTTTGACTCCCATTACAACAGCTATACCGCTCATAGGGGTACTTATGCTCACTGCCGTTAAAGATGCCTATGACGACTTTGTGAGTAATTTTGATGTTTTCTCAATTGTCATGAAATACTTTTTTTCTTTTGTTTCTTGAGAACGTACATTTTCTTTATCGACTCGTATCAATTTCAGCAACGGCATAGCAGCGATTCGCAAGTTAATAATAGAAAGTCACAAACATTGCGTGGTACTAGCCTACGTGAAGAGAAATGGTCTCAGGTTCAAGTAGGAGATGTTATAAGAATGGAAAACGATCATTTTGTTGCGGCAGATGTTCTCCTTCTGTCGACGAGCGAACCAAATGGTCTCTGTTACATCGAAACGGCAGAATTGGATGGGTCAGTAATATTTGTTTTTGTTGTTGCAAATTGATCCATTCAATGCATCTAATTTAATTTCTTGTTATTCTTTTATAGTGAGACGAATTTAAAATGCCGGCAATGTTTGACTGAGACTGCCGAAATGATGGACAACCACGAATTGATTGGCCAATTCGACGGTGAAATCGTTTGCGAAACGCCTAACAATTTGTTGAATAAATTTGACGGCACGTTAACATGGAGAGGACGGAAGTAAGAATAAACAAATGAACAAGAAAAAAAGAAATTACTTGATAATGGTATAATCTTTTAGTATGCTAAAACAAATTGTTGCCTATTATGTTACAGATATGCGTTGGATAATGATAAAATCATATTACGAGGTTGTGTATTGAGAAATACACAATGGTGCTACGGCGTGGTCATCTTTGCAGGCAAGGATACCAAATTAATGCAAAACTCAGGGAAGACCAAATTTAAGAGGACCTCTATAGATAGGCTGCTGAATCTTCTGATTATTGGAATAGTGTTTTTCTTGCTTTCTATGTGTTTGTTTTGCATGATCGGTTGTGGTATTTGGGAGAGCCTAGTGGGTAGATATTTTCAAGTGTATTTACCCTGGGACTCGTTGGTGCCTACCGAACCTTTAGGAGGTGCCACCGTGATCGCTCTCCTTGTATTCTTTTCATATGCTATTGTATTGAACACAGTGGTGCCAATCAGTTTATATGTGAGTGTCGAAGTTATCAGATTCGTCCAATCGTTTCTGATTAATTGGGACGAAGAAATGTACTACGCGCCTACGAATACACATGCAAAGGCTAGGACTACTACATTAAACGAAGAATTAGGTCAGATAGAATACATCTTTTCTGACAAAACTGGAACATTAACGCAAAATATTATGACCTTTAACAAGTGTTCTGTGGCCGGTAAATGTTACGGTGACTCTGTCAATGAAGTTACTGGAGAAATCATCGATTTAAGCGAGGTAAGATACCCTTTTGATATATCTAATATCGTTTTATTATTTACTAAAGGTGCATCTATTGTGAATTTGTTCATACACAACGTATAAACGTTCCTTTGTTGAGGAAAAGGTTCAAATTATGCTTTATACTTGAATTATCTCAATTTAAAACACATTCGAGCTGTTTCTGTTTCTTTTTATTTGATCAAGCTACAAACTCGATCGTTTTTGTATCCTTACGTTGTGAATTTGTGTTTTTATTTACGACTTTTTTATTTTTATATTCACATAAGGTGGCACAGTATGGTATGCGATTCATTATATAATTAACTTAGTTAGAACTTGGATAAATTAGAAAACATATTTAATCTAACATGTCACAAAATCATGTGCCACTATCATGAAATTTCTTTCCTTTACCCCAAAGTGCTAGACTTTAGTATTCATCCGTTTTCCAAAGTAATTATTTGTCATCGTTGCTATAATTATTGCAATAAAATCTCGACTTCAAGAATTTTCATTTATTGCTGTATTTTTTTGTTTTTTTTTTTTATTATCAATAATATCAAATTTTAATTTTATTTTGCTAAATACAAAAATTGAATTTAAAGTACAACAAAGAAAGAAAACCAAAAGAAAAATACCAAAAGTACATATTAATAAAAAAAAAAATCAAAAAGATAGATACAATCTCTTTGTAAATCCATACTGTGCATAAGTTTTCATGCACATCATTTAGCATGTGTGTGCTGCATGTAGACGGACAAAGCTGCACAAACTCCGACAATGCGATGGAAGAATGGACAAGAATTTGTTCGTCAAGTTTATACTCCGCTTAGTGGTCCAAACGTGCGTCTTCTGGAGCAAGCTGACAGAATGTCCAGTACAACACCAGAACCAGGAATCAGTGCCAGCCCAAAGCTTCAACACAAACCTTCAGTACGCATGCTCATATTCGACACGCACCTGCCAGCCATGCAAAAATTCAATTATACTTGTTTTCTTATTTTTGTTACCATGCTCGCTACACACAAACACACACACACACACACTTTTAATTCTCAGTTAAATGAATTCAATAACATTGCATATTGTTTTAATATACACCAATGACATAACAAGAAATTTATGTTTCTTATTGTCTTTCGTTTCAATTATGCTGTGTAATAAAAATAGATGCATGTTTTATGTCGTACTCACACTCATCTCTTTAGTAGGTTAAAATACTTTTAAAATTTTTTATACTCTTTCATGTACTACTTTCTTGAATAATCCCAAGGACGAATCGACTAACACCATCCGTTCACTGTATTTCAATAAGCTCTCTTTTTTACTATAGATTTATAGCGAGAGGTATATATAATTGCATACATGCATACAATCTGTACTCTGGTATTTCTTTTTCATCTGGTTCTCTCTATGTACTAATAAAAATGTATATTTATCCCTCTTCTTTCTTCTTACTGACTCTAGAGAAATCTTTTTGCAAAATAAGTAATATTTTATATATAATGTCATTTCTAATTTTACAGACAATGCCACCCCTGGATTTTTCATTTAACAAAGACTACGAGCCTGAATTTAAATTCTATGATCCTGCACTTTTGGAAGCTGTCAAGCAAGGCAATCAAGATGTTCACAGTTTCTTTCGCTTATTAGCATTATGCCACACCGTTATGCCAGAAGAGAAGCACGGAAAACTGGAGTATCAAGCACAGTCGCCGGACGAAGCAGCACTTGTATCCGCAGCAAGAAATTTTGGTTTTGTTTTTAAAGAAAGATCACCGAATAGCATAACGATTGAAGTAATGGGAAAACGTGAAATATATGAACTACTATGTATTCTAGACTTTAATAACGTTAGAAAAAGAATGTCTGTAATATTGAGAAAGGATGGTCATCTTAGGCTTTATTGTAAAGGAGCAGACAATGTCATTTACGAACGTTTGAAGAAAGATAGTGATGAAATTATGTCTAAGACTTTGGATCACCTCAATAAATTTGCAGGTGAAGGTTTAAGAACATTGTGCCTTTCAGTGAGAGATTTAGATGAAAGCTTCTTTAATAATTGGAAACAACGTCATCAAGAAGCCGCTTTGAGTCATGAAAATAGAGACGACAAATTGGACGCTATATACGAAGAAATAGAAAAAGATATGACGTTACTAGGTGCTACTGCCATTGAGGATAAATTACAAGATGGTGTACCCCAAACCATTGCGAATTTAGGACTCGCTGGCATAAAAGTGTGGGTATTAACAGGTGATAAACAAGGTAAATTTATAAAGACAATATATTTAATCTAGCGCTCTACAAAATTAATTTGAAAATAATTATTCTTAATATCTCATAAATAATAAATCATTATTTTTCATACTTTATTATATTTTAAATAATTTGACAGTAATCCCTTCATTTGCGCGAATAATTGATTCCCATAAAAACAGCATGTAAATAAAACCATTAAATTATGCATTAGTATTTTATTAAATTGTGCGAATTGTTAATTCATTCAGATTATACAATTGAACAATATTATTAATTTTTTGCACTTTTTCTAATATCCAGATAATTTTGTTTAATTTGACTTCTAAACTTTATCTGGGTTCTTGCACTTTTCATTTTCTTAATAGTATTTTTTGTTAATGCCATTATTTTTATCTCACAAATTTTGTATCACATTGTAAATGTTCGCAGCACAATTGCAGATAAATTTACGCAATTACAAAATAAATTATACTAATTGTAAGTTATTTTCAAAATTGTATTTGCACATTACACATTGTGGTGAAATCTAGATGCTGGTATCTCAAGTGCATAAATGAAAAGATTACTGTATTTATCATATCTTTTACTTATAATTAACACTAGAACTACCGGGGAAAAAAACGATGCTACTTCTACCAATACCAGTCATTTTGAGTCAAAGGTAAAAAATTGTAACATAAAGTGGGAATTTAATAATGAAGTTGAACGGTAGTTCTAGTGTTAATGAAGTTTTGTCTTCTACTGCTATTAGTACTACAGATATAACCATTCGTGTGTCTTTATTTTTTCATAGAAACGGCTATCAACATTGGTTACTCGTGTCAGCTGCTAACAGATGATCTGACCGATGTCTTTGTAGTAGATGCTACTACTTACGATGGGGTTGAAACTCAATTGAGACGATATTTGGAAACTATCAAGACAGCCTCTAGCCATCAGAATCGGCCAACTCTCTCCATTGTCACATTCAGGTGGGACAAGGAAAGGTCAGGCAATTGAAAGAGATGGAGTAAAGTCTATTACCCTTTTTTCATATCTAATTCTGACTGATTAACATGTTTATTAAAAGATATACCTTTACATTGAATGTGTCACCATGTATTGTGTAATGCTTTCTTTGTCTGGTTTATGCCAAAGAATTATAATGAAAAGAGAATTTAATTTTTTTTTTATTAGAACAAATCTATATATTCCAAATTATTATTTCTATACGTATCCTGAATGTTAGTATTTTTTTTTTTTTTTTTTTTACTTAAATTAAACATTCTTGGGCATTTACCTGAAGGCATTCTAAAGGTATAACAAGAATTATATTATGCTACGAATTTGCTTAGATCATGGTATGTGCTATAGTATCATGTTTTTATACATTTTGATCCTGGTATCCTTTATTCTTCTTTCGTTAAAATAGTAAATATTAAAATGTATTTGCATGCAATTCGACAGCATCCAACCAAATCCTTTTGTATAAATTATTAAAGTTATCTCAAATTCTCTCTTCTCTGTTTATTAAATATTACTATAATTATAAAGGAATAAACTATATGACCACTACCTGCTTGTCGAAGATAGTATTATACACTGCAGATGTCATAGTATGGTAGATATTAGGTTTTAGATGTACCTACCAAAATGCAACATACATTTCATTGGAAGTGTTTATTGGAAAAGAAAAATGTTAAATTTATGAAAGATAACGATGACGACTATACTATATGATGCTTGATACTCACTCCTTCTCTTTCTGTATGCTTAACATTAATCCTAGAAATAATTATTATAACAAGATTTTTTTTTCAAATTATGTTGCTTATGTCACGTTCTTGTTTCTTGTAGAATCTAATATTGTGCACCATGTGTCTATCGTTAAAATTTAATGTATATTATATTTTTTTTACCTTGGAGATCAATCTTTTCCAAGTATCCTGATTCAAATTATGTGAATAATTCGAGAGAAATTGCAAAAATCCTTTTATTCGATATTATTAAATTTTTGATTGTTTCTTTATATTTATAACGATTTTACGAACAACTATGAAATCATTAGCGACGAAAGGATAAGACTCTTTTCCTTTAAACTAATATTTTTTTGTATACAGCAGTGATACGGAATATAATCCGAGTAGAGACGAGCAGGATGAACATGAAATGGAGCAAGCTATGGGTTTTGCAGTGGTTATCAATGGACATTCCTTAGTGCACGCATTGCATCCACAGCTTGATCAACTTTTTCTCGAAGTATCAAGCCAATGTAAGTTCAATAGCAATTAATTTATACGGTAGAGCATTCATTATTCGAACATTCATTTTTTTTTTTAAATGTTTAATCCTTTGAGTGCTATAGACGCATATGTGTCCAATGAAAGGTATATGCGAAATTATACATAGGTCACACTAGCAAGAAAATTATTCCGTCCTCAACAATTGCAACTGTTAAGTATTTGCCACCCATGCGGATTGCTTCTACCAGTAGTATTCAGTACTCAAAGGATTAATGATATTCAACTTATGTTTTAATTTTAACACCTATCTTTTTCTTTTACTACTCATCGTATAAATAAAATTTATACATACATTAAATTGCAAATAATTAAATTCGGGGATTTGAAACAACTAGGATGCGTGTCCTATATCACAAGCATTATTAAATATATTAACGGAAGAACGTACATGAGCAAACTATTATCAATGTTCAAATAATCGATGGTTTATTGTATTTGCTATATTAACTTATATCAATGAACTTATATTAATGTTTTATTGTTTAATGTTTTAACTGTCAAAAATTCTAGGTAAATCTGTGATATGTTGTCGTGTAACACCTTTACAAAAAGCAATGGTCGTTGAATTAATTAAAAAGAATAAAAATGCTGTCACTTTGGCGATTGGAGATGGAGCTAATGATGTTTCGATGATAAAGACAGCTCATATTGGCGTTGGTATTAGTGGACAGGAAGGATTGCAAGCTGTACTAGCCTCCGATTATTCGATAGGGCAATTTAGGTTTTTAGAAAGATTGTTACTTGTCCATGGCAGGTGGTCATATTATAGAATGAGCAAGTTCCTTAGGTACTTCTTTTATAAAAATTTTGCATTCACTCTCTGCCATATCTGGTTCGCCTTCTTCTGTGGATTCAGCGCACAGGTATAATTGAGATAGTAATTTTGACACATTGAACACCGGCTCTGTCTCTCATTACGTGATTTGTTTTTTTTACTCGTAGCAAATATGTTTAACGTATTTGATATCGTTAATTTTGTTTGTATTAACTTCTAACAAAATACAGACAAAAGTCTGTAAAAAGTCATATCAACAGTCACTTTGAAAACATTTATATACGGTCAAGCAATGTGAGCACCAGTGTTCAATGAATGTATTAAAAATTAAATATTAAACAAATAACACAAATGATGAACTTTAAGGCGAATGCGATTCTTTAAGATTCCTTTGTTAGAGCAAAATTGTTCCAAAGTTGAGACAAAGAATATGATCTTAAATATAATAATCTGATTTGTGTTGTATATATTTTTGAATGAATGTATGCATGTATTTAATTCTTTATAAGTATATATTTATATAGTAGGTGAGAATATAATTATCATTTTTTTTCCGTTTCATTTTTCAGACAGTGTTTGATCCAATGTACATTTCTGTCTATAATCTATTTTATACGTCACTACCAGTTTTGGCGGTTGGCATATTTGATCAAGATGTTAATGATAAAAATAGCCTAATGTATCCAAAGCTATATGCACCTGGACTTCAAAATCTTCTCTTTAACAAAAAAGAATTTTGTTGGAGCGCTCTACATGGTTTTTTTGCTAGTTGCGTGTTATTTTTAGTACCCTATGGTAAGTATTAATTCTTTTCGCATTTAACAATATTTATTGATCCTAACTCATATTTTTTTTTTATTGTTTTAATTAATTTTCTCAATTAAAATTCAAAATTGATTTTAGGAACATACAAGGATGGAGTATCACCAAAGGGCTATGTACTTTCAGACCATATGCTGCTGGGCAGTGTTGTAGCTACAATATTAGTTATAGTTGTAACAGTTCAAATTGCTCTTGACACATCATATTGGACAGTTGTTAATCATATTATGGTGTGGGGCTCGTTGATATGGTATTTTATTTTAGATTACTTTTATAACTTCGTCATAGGAGGTAGTTACGTTGGCAGTCTTACAATGGTACGTATTTCAACATACTTTTGTTTTAAGTTAATCCTTTACGCTTTGACTATCAATACTGCTAGCAATGTTGTACTCCTGTGGCATAATAACAAAAATTAGTAAATTCAGATGATACTGTTACTTTGATAAGTTTTGTACACATATTCAATATTTCTTGTTCTTGTTTCGTAAAAATATTTGAATCCATTAGCTTATTTTATTTTTCTAAAAGTACCTAGAGTTTATTAATTGTGAGCGTAAAAAATACTGTGAGGGCAAAGGATTAATATTGGGTTCTTTGGAAAGTTTGTGTTAATTTATAAATATATACAAGGTATCTTGTAAATGGTAATACAAGCGGGTAGGAAATAATTCAATATAAAAAACTAAGTTGAAAAAATGTAGAATAAAATTCTTTTATATAAAGCTTTATTATATTTTTAAATAAAAGTTTGCACACAAATTTGTGTACTATGTGCACTTGATTAAACTTGCACTTCTGGAAACTAAAACTCTTGTATGAAACGCATGAGTATATATGAGAAAGCAATAAAATGCTTTCTAAAATATACAAAAGTAAGACACTGAAATCCGCTGAGTTAAAACCGTATCAAGTTTATACGTACTTGACATTTCTTTTGCAGCATAACTTATGCTGCAAATGTACTAGATCCTTTGACGTAACGCTGATGCATTCTTGCTCGCTTGTATCACCAGTTACAGGTACATCAGGACAAATTTGTTACCCATTAGGTGCCCATTAAATTAATATTAGGTTGCTTATAAAGTTCTTCCTGATTTTGAGACAATAATATTAATTACCATGAATTTGTCCGAACAACCCAATACATAAAGGATCGTAATTATCGTAAATACGTAAAAAATCGTAATTAATACATATATATATATTTTTGTTTTGTTTAAAGGCTATGTCAGAAGCAACATTTTGGTTCACGACAGTTATAACATGTATAATCCTAGTGATACCAGTTCTTTCGTGGAGGTTCTTCTTTATGGATGTTAAACCAACACTCTCTGATAGAGTAAGATTGAAACAAAGATTAGCGCAATTGCGTTCTCGACAGAGTCAGGACATTTTGCGTACTCCATCAACGAGACGCACGCGACGATCTTTGCGTTCGGGTTACGCATTTGCACATCAAGAAGGTTTCGGACGACTTATTACATCTGGAAAAATCATGCGCAAATTACCAAATGGTGCAGATTTTAAGTTCGCTATGCCATTTACTAATAATGTTACTAAACAAGTTAATGTTGCTACTACGTCGCCAAAGGAGAATGCATCTCGGAATTCGCACACATTGGATGCTATTACTCTGTGAATCTTTAAGTTAATCACAGTGTTGCACAGTAAGTATGATTTCACGTATTGTTGTGAAATAAGTTTTTTTTTTTTTTCAAAAAAAAAAAAAAAGAAAAAAGCATTGTCATTCAGTTTGCCTTATTGAAAGTTTTTATGCTATATAAATCATTCATTCTTTTTCTTTCGTTTATATTTTTCCCGACAAGGACACATAATCATTATAAAATAATTGATTAATTATTGTTTTTCTTCTTGGTTTATCTTTTCAATATTTTTGTTGTTGTTGTTATTATTTTTTCTTTCTTTGCTTACAATCAATTATTATTTTATAAGATCAATTTTATAAAAGTTTTCTATAACGTTTCAGTATTTTGCATTTCAGTGAGGCACACTGATATTGTAATAGTCTTAATCTATATTTTCTACCTCCTTACTGTAATTGATTATATATTTATGATTTACAACAATATAGTTCTATATATATATATATGTCAATTAAAAGATTGCGTGAAAATATAATATTTTATTCTCTCATATATTTCATATAATATTATTAATCGTATCTTCAAAAGTAATAAATTAATTCATTTGAGTTATTATGAAATTAAATAATTATAAATTCTTATAAAACAATACACACATATACATAACACTAACATAAATTAAAATTATATTAGAAAGACAAATTATCGCTTAAGAATTTATAAAAAAAAGAATTTAAAAGATATAAATTATTCTCTGATATTTGATTAATGATCATTAATTTGTCATTTCTGGAAAAATTTACTTTTTTTTTTTTTTTTGAAGATGATTTAAATCGTAGACGAGTTAGTCATCATTTTATATGTTACGGGCAATGATATATTTCGAACATTGTATAGAATGCCCACGTAAATCGGACAGTGTGTATAATAAGTATGTATTTCACAGATTGTTCAGTTATTTTATACAATGATCTCAATAATACATTGTCCGTAACATATATACATATATATACCATATGCAATTGTACAGCTTACAATAACGGTAAACATTCTAATCATTATTAAAAAAAAAAAAAAAGAAATTCATTTTACTGTGATACGTGTAAATCAGATAAGCAGTTCTTTTTTTTTTATTTGCACTTTAAGTATACAGAAGAAAAAAAACAAAAAATGATATATTTGTAACGAAGAAGAAGAAGAAGAAGAAGAAGAAATTAATTTGTCATGAATTAATTTTCTTATCTGTTATTATTGCTATTAAATCAACATTATCCAATTGCGCCATTGTCTTTCTTCTTTTTTTTTTTTTCACTTATACAGAAGAATTATTTTAGACGATACAATATTCTAAAAATATCATCATCTCTCTGGTAAGTTAGCAATTGAAAATCAAGCAGAAACTATTATTGTAAATTTGTATCTACATAATTAAAAGCGTCTCAAAACCTTGAAACATACATTATTTATTCTTATTACTTCTAGTGTATATGTACATCTATAAAAGAAAGAAAAAAAAAACAAAAACATGGGAATAAAACATTCTTCTGCTGTTCTTACTTGTATTATATGCTATTTCTATAAAAAAACAAAACATGATCAATGTAAAGAATATATTTACTCTATACATTACATTATAATATACTTGTACAAGCATATAATAGATATTCATAATTGCCTTTGTAAAACATTAATACAAATCACTACTAAAATAACACTGTATTATAGTATTCACTGTAAATACTTCAAAGAGATACATATATATAAAATATATATATGTATATATATATACATATAACAGAACACAAAAACCTACACACCTACACAAACATTATAATATATTATGTTGTATTACATTAACAATATATTAAATTAAATAAGATTATATTATATTGTATTAAATTATATTATATTACATTACATAAACATTACATTACTTTATATTATATTATATTATATTATACTATATTATATTATATTACATTACTTTATATTATATTATATTATATTATATTATATTATACTATATATACTATATTATATATTATATTATATATTATATCATATTATATTATATTATATTACATTACTTTATATTATATTATACTATATATACTATATTATATATTATATTATATTATATTATAACAAATTAATATTATAATATATTAAATATTAAGCATACGTTTTTTAAAAGAAAGTAATATATAGTTAGAATAATCTGAAAAAAGAAGCACGAACATAATATAGCTATATTATTATATACTGTGAACAAACGTTTGCCTTGGACTGACTACTGAAAAAGAAAGGAAGAAAAAAAAGATAATACACACATACACACAAAACACGTATGTACCTATCGTATATATCTGCGCGTATGTATATATAGTATGTACATATGCGTATACGTAAAGTAAAAGGCAGTAGTAGCATTATAAAAAAAAAAAAATCTGTATTTCTACTTTTAATATTACTTTGAAACATAGAAAAGAAAAAAAAAATCAGATAGCTGAAATATGAAAAGTGTGTTCCCACAATCAAATCATTATGTAAAACAGAGGATATAAACTCACCGCTTTAATGCTACTTACAATGTGTCTCGTATTTGAATCACACACAATTTAATTGAGACTTTGTATATATCATACCAGTCCCATTTAATCTATTATTACTCAGTATAATTATTCTTTATTACTACTTTATCGGTTTCTTGTAAATTTACTAAGTATATGAAAAATAAAATTGTACAAGACCCACTTTTATAATATATCCGAAGTATGTGTAGATTAAAATTCGAAGTACAAGGAACAACTGACTAAAGAGACTGCTGAATTTTTATTGCGATCTTCTCAATCTATAGAGTATATATGAAATATACATACAAAACTAAGAAAAATAAATAAATAAATAAATAAATGAAGAAAGAAAGAATAAGTGAGTGGATCGTTTATAATAGTTTCATATATTGACATGTGTCTATTTATGTTAGAAACAAATATTAGGATAATATTGTGATTAGTTATTAATTAATCAATGTGAAAAACTAATATTATATTAGTTCAGTGAGTCTGCTTTTATGTATGTTTCTAAAATGAAATTTGTTTAAGTGAAATGAGGCTGACACTGATGATCATTCAATTGAATCTAATATTAATAATTCGATTTATTAACGTTTTATTTATAAATTATTTGTAAAAAACAATTTGGCAAGATTGTTTAATTTTTCTTTAATAATTAATAATCGTAAGAAACGAAATAATAGTCACACATTTTTAATGCGGTTTCTTGTTTAAGATACCTTATCGTGTTTAACGATACACTAAGTATACTTATTTTCTTCTTTAATGTTATACAATGAAAAATAAATTTTCATTTAATTATTCATTTGTGTATTAGTTTCAAGTAGGAGGATACACATTAACTGAAAATACTGCACGCATAAGATTTATATTTATTTTAATATACATGCTTTATGTTGTATATCGTACACAATTTTGTGTCAATATCGTCTACGTGTTTATCTATTAAATATTTATAAGTAATATTTCAGAAAAATAACGGATTTGTTTTTATTGTAATAATTACTATATCTCAATTAACCAGTGTGTGTGTAACTATTTAAATATAAGCCAGCTCTCAACTTGCATTTCATAATATTTTTATTAATTTTTGTTCAGTAAATTTTCCATTATATAATTTTATTTCTTTGCACATATATATATATATATATATATATATATATATATATATAAGATTTAATTTTGACTTATCATTAATATCATTTCATACATTGGGACCATGGAAAGATATGTGTAATAATATGAGTTAATAACATTGTGTAGCATCTTTTTAATATAATTAGTATAAGTATAATTGAAACAGTGTGTTGCAATTAAGTGCATTTTAATATCTCCCCCTCCCCTTTATTATAACCAGAAGCAATGATGTATATGTACAGGGAACCGTTAAGATTATATTACCAAATATTATTATCTTACAGAACAACAGACTTGCCTTAAACATATATTTATCAGAAATAATTGTATTGCATTGTTTTTGATAGCACACAAATGCGCCGTACAAGAAAAAAACAATTCGTTTTTTCGATTTAAGTTACGTAACACTTTTGTAATAATATTTCAATTAATAGTATAAGTAAGAAGTCAGCTTGGTTAAAAGAAAGTTCAATGATGGAAAAAAAAATACAGCCTATTAAACTTAATCAAGTTTCTTTATAAACACAATTTTATATATATATGTGTGTATATATATATTTTGATTCATGAGATACAAAGGAAGTAGAATATTTAATTGTTGTATATTGGCTTATTCATAAAAAAGAAACGAAAGTTATAATATTGAAAGTATTTATATTTATTTGACAATCCTTCTTAAATAGACTTAATAACTTAAATAAACAAACTCGTAATGATAAGTCTTATCATTGTTTGTTCGAAACATGCATCAAAATTGTAGTCTTTTAGCAAGGGGAGCACCTTCTATGGTCTCCAATAATTTACGCTTCAAACTTATCTTTTCTTCTGATTGATATTTTATTGTCGTTGGAAGAGGTAATCTAGATCCAGGCGTTGGACTTGGTTTGTTGCTAAAGTATGGCATTTGTAACGCTTGGTCGCATGTACATCTCTCTAATGGATTAACATTTAATAGACAAGCAATTAAATCTAATAAATCATCACTTGCAGCAGTGAATATATCCTTTAATGGCATTCCCGGAAAAGGTTTAAATTGAATAAAGTCAGATAATTCCGTCATGCCTGGCCATGTTTCTTCGGTTGGTGTACCTAGTGTCTGTAAAATATAATCATTTACATCATTTTCATACATATATATTAAACAATACATATCTACATTTGTCAAATCGATTAACTTCAAGAAACAAAAAGTCAAGAAAATTAGTGTATCATTTATTATTGAATGATCATCGTCAGCCGATATAGAATTTAACATAGATTCAAAACAGGCTCTATTTTCTTTCACCTCATGCTGTCGCCATAACCCTGACGAAACCCTAACGAAACCCTGACGGTTGCTGTGTGCAAACAATAAGGTTGTTGTGTGCGAACAACAAGATTGCTCTTTATTGGCGCATTAGCGGAATAATTTTTGCTGCGGTTAACATGTAAGTACCGTAAAACCTTATTCACGATGCAAATATACAGTAGAAGTGAACAACACAGCTGTATCTAAGGGATTAATCGCTTTGACATGTCAGTTCTTATGGACATAATCTTAGATTTTCTATGCAAATCACATCGGTTATCAATGACTATTTTTCTATGATTGGAAGATCATCGTGACTTAAATGGAAAACTTAAGAAAAAAAGGCTTGGCGCTTAATGTGTTAAACATGTACAAGAAAAAAAATACCTGAAATATCCTAGTAAGTTGATCCAAGTCTGATTCTCCAGGTAAGAAAGGTGCACGTAATAATAATTCTGCTAATATACAACCAACCGCCCACATATCAATACCAGTACTGTAAAGTCTTGCACCATACAGTAATTCAGGGGCTCTGTACCATCTAGTTACCACCTGATGAGTATTTATTCTATTGGGGGAACCAAAAAATTTGGCTAATCCAAAATCACCTATCTTCAAGACTCCCTCAGACGTAACCAATAAATTATTAGGTTTCAAATCCCTATGAAGTATCCAATTAAAATGTAAATAATCTAAGCCTTGAAGAGTTTGAATCATATAAGCTTTTATATGCGCAGGGGTTAAGACAATATTGCTGTCTTTTATTATTACTTCTAAATCTGTATCCATGAAATCGAATACTAACGAAACATTGGATTTATAACCGAAGACATCTGAAATAACAAACATAAAACAATATTAATTCATTCAAATATCACAATTCTATTTTCTTGTATCTTTATTATATAAAAATAATTTACCCAATAATCCAATCACGTTGTCATGTTTTAATTCTTGTAAAAGCTTTATTTCTCTCAACGCAGTTCTATTTATCCCATCTCTAGCTTCTGCACGACTACCGACTTTGATCTGAAGAAAAATCGACATAAATATAAATAAAGAAATATAATTTCAAGATTTTAACACTATTTATTTATAACGCATATAAAAATGTAAAATATTGTTGATTAACCTTTTTAACGGCAACGATTTTTCCTGTTTTCACATCCTTTGCTTTGTAAACAGTAGCGAACTGAAAGATATTAATATAAAACAATTATTATATTGTATTGAGAAATAACACAATTAAACATAAACGTATAAAATAATAAACAGGCATTTCTAACCTGTCCCTCTCCAAGAAAATCGATTTTTTCATATCTCCGTAATTTTTCAGCCATTGTTATAATACACTAAGGTAATTTTTACTTGATTCAGCATTGCACAAATTACCCCCGCTGTATTTTGTTAAACTCCTGAGATGTAAATGCATTTAATTTCAACATTAACACATCATATAGTACACATAACCAACAAATAGAATATCTTTTCAGTCATGTTTGAATCAGTGATGCCTAGACTTGAGCTTTCTCCCACGTGGGAACCTTTGTGCGCATGCGCACGCTGACGTCACAGCTCGACGGCGATTGTTGTTTTCCTGGACATGTTCAATAATAGCTAGACGAAGGGGGGCTCTTCCCAGTCGTTTCCCGCGTTTTTCGTTAAAGTGAAGGTAAGTTGCGTATTGTTAAATAATATATTGAATTGTAGTAGTGTTAATATATGTTATTTCTTTTAAAAATGTCCTCTTCCCGTCATTTCTAGAAGTACATATACGATTTTTAATTAATTGTAAACATTTAATTTTATAAAACAATTTTCTACATTTTGTTTCGTCAAAGAGTCGATTTTTTTATTCAATGTTACGCCGTTTTTTTGTTGTTGCATGATTGTAGAGCATGTAATGAAACAAACCTCCATCCCGGGACGATATCACCCAAAAATTGTAGATATCAGATGGAATAAACTTCAATAAGGCGTTAAATTTGAAAACAATTAACCCTTTGTTGTACTCGAAGTTTATATTGTGCATTGTATATATTACGAACAATTGACAAAACAATTTCAATAGAAAAAAAATCATATTCACGTGTTATAAGCTAATGCAATTTGCGCAGTTAAAACAATAATATCATAATTTCCGTGTTTATTTTTGTTTTATTGTTTCCGTAACGGAGCCCTCGAGTACAAAGAGTTAAATTTATTATGCTCAGTTCGTCAAAGTTGCATTGACGAATTTGTATAGATTTCAGGAGGAGGCGAATACAATTGTTTTCGCAATAACTTAATTCATTCATTCACACCCTGATTCTTTCTTTTTCCTTTTTTTCTTTTTATCTATTGTTGTCAATCTCGCTACGTGCACAAACTCATCATTTTCCATCCTTTCCCATGAACAACGCGCCCGAGAATTTCCGAGAACATCCTCGAAGCTTTGCAATATATAACAATCCCTTTCATTAATTTCATATGTTCTTAGAAGAAGTCTCTTTTACTGCATAATTTTTCTGTAATGATGTTTATTTTTGAATGTTCATTTATTGACTACTCAGAAAGTTCCGCTTTCCATAGCTCCCTTTACAGAGTAAAAGGAGTGAACGATCATCGGTGATCAAAATCTTGAAATTTCATTCAAGATCTTGAATCGTCCTCACGCTCAGGAAAGGGAACTACAACTCGTCATCGTAGTTGCAACGTCTCAGCTTTACGCTAAACAGTTGTGAAGATATACTACAGAAATGATCCTGTGAAGTATGATCTTAACTTAACCGTGATTTTTTAAGCCTTATATACAATTCGAAGTATAGTATTACTTACGAGAAACGGTAAATGGTATCTGCCATCTAGTGTCCAATACAAAGAACTAACTGATTTTCTTACCCGTTCGAGACCACTTGCACAGAGTGTGTACACATTGTAATGAACTATTATTTTTTGTTCATAAATCGCTTGTCAAATTATTCAAAAATATACTCCTAAAATTTTAAGTTAAAATTCATTATAACCTCGAGTGTATTTGAAAGGGAGTATTGATATTTTCGTATTAGATATCGTTAGAAGGATGATAAACAAAAGGAAATCTGTAACTGTATACTTAATTCGAAATTTCAAATTCCCAATAATCAACAAACTGTTAATAATGTTTAATCATATTGATACTTCGAATAAGAACTTATGTTAACATGATAAAAATCTGTCCCATGAATTTCTTGTCTTTAAATGTTTCCAAACTTTTTTATCCAGTCGCCTAGCTTCCTTTCCTGAAAAAATCTTGTTTATCGCTCCCTTGAAAATTAATTTCTTAATTTTGTTGATCGTCGACCTTTTTACCCTCTTAAATCGATTCATCGATCACCAGAGGGGGCGATATTGCCTACTTTGGGAATTACTGTTCAGAACAGTTGGATTTAAATGTATAGTCGATTAGTGTTGAATAGACGGTTAAGATATCAGTATATTTTTTGTTTGTATTCTTGTTAATTAAAAAAACTCTTATCCTTTACTACGATACTAATGGTAAGATCCTTTCACTTATGTATATATATGTAAAAATAAAGTAATAAAAGAATATAAATTATTAACGTTTTCGAAAAAGAAGGATTATTTCGAAGTACATTACAAAAAGAGTATAATATTTATTGGTGAAAGTTAAAAGAAGGATCGAACGAAGAATTTTAAGGCAAATCCTTTTTTTGTTACGTGTAACAAAAAATAAGAAAATTATGACAACATAAGTGTACAGACGTCATCTGAAAATTGTACTTAAACTCGAAACATTTCATTCTATTAGGTATACGACTTTGATTCCGTCGTTTTTCTATAAACGGCAAAGTGACAAATAGACGTCGAATATATACATTATAGACGGCTTACAATACGCATTAACATCTTGTGAACATAAACACCAGTAGTACACCAGATCACACACACACATCTGGTACCAGTATAACATAGCACCAGTAGTTGATTTGTGTTGACATCATTTAGTTATACCTGATTAGAAATGTCAAAATATGTGCCGAATACTCATCATTTGCGAGAAATGTTAATTTTCTTTTTTAATATCAAAAAAACTGTGAGTGAGGCTCACCATTTGCTCACAAGCGTTTATGGTCCAGCTGTTATAAATGAAGCTACATGTTCAGAGTGGTATACACGCTTCGCGAGCGGTGATTTCTGCATAACAGACGGAGAGTCGCCGCCGATTGATGACCAGTCAGACGACAGACTAGACATGTCTGATGATGATGAAGAGGAATTTTGACAATGTTAAAAAGAGATGGCAGAATCATTGAGAGTGAATCAACAAGTAGTTTCAAAACGCCGAAAGACGATTGCGAATGAAATGAAAAAAGTAAAATAGAAAAAATTAAAATAAATATAAAAAACAGAATTAAAAAATAGATAAAAGGTAAAAGCTAAGTTGTATACCTAATAAAATAACAGATTTAATTCTATGGCGAAATATCTTTGAGTATACAGTTGATGTCTATAGAATAGAAAACAAGAATGATTATTTAATAAATATGATCGACCTTCCGGCTCTGTTCGATAACATATATTCTCTGTCGATGTTTATAAATTTTCATAAGAAATGACTTTAACTATATTAGAAGAAAAATTTACAAAATTAAGCAGATATCAGTCGATTCAATTTTAAATTTCAATATTCTGGAAAATTTATATTGAAATGTTACAATAGTTTAATTAAGTTATTCACTAAACTCGACAGTTCATTGTCAACTTGAGTGTTTCGATTCATATCAGGTCTAATTAATTATGAAATTAAAAACAAAGTTGAAAGAAATAGCAAATGAAAAATCTCAAGATACGTTAAATGCTATGTTTAATACGCTCATGAACTTAGAATAAAGAAAGAGGAAGTTATTTTTAAAACAATTACATTAAGGACAAATCTTAAATGAATATCATATAAAAGATGAATAAATACAAATCGGACTAACAAACATTTCAAAAATAATTCAAGTATTATTTGATGCAAAATCGTTAATTTTATAAAAATGTTTATTATCAGTGGAATTGTTGCATTGACTATTAGAATATATTTGTTTATGCTTAAAACAATACGTTAGTCAGGATTAAAAGAGAAAAGAAAAGTAACAACGATTCTGTACGTTATCAAAATAGTGCAATATTTTATTTCTGGTTTTTTTATAAAAAAAATTCATGGAATACATTTTACAAAACAAAATAATATTTTATAAGACGTATACAAATTTTATTAAGACAATAAGGGGAAAAAAAAGGATAAATGGTAATTGTTTTATTTGCAATAACATTTTAATTTGTTTCTTGATGAAAATAAAATTTATTTGTAATATTTGTTTAGGGTCTGACGGATCAGGTAACACTAGTCACGTCTTTCAATTGACAAAAATTGGGATCCTGGTAATGATGATGAAATACCTATCAAGATTCTGACGGATTATATAAAAGAAACTCATCTTACTAAATCAATCATTTATGAGGGTATTTTTTTTTTAAAGATCTATAAACAAAATTTTCTATAATCTGAAATATTTTAGAGTTAGTGTTGGAATTTGTTTGAAATGTATTAATTGACTTAATATTTTTATGCATTTAAACATACAGAATTGTAAAATGTTATTTATCCTTAACAATGAGTACAAGCATGGAAGAAAAAAAAAAGATATTTTTTATTTGTAAATAAAAATTGTATACTTTTACATGTTATAATAATTATAAATTATTAGGAGAAGATAAGCCAGACCAATTTTTTAAAAATGTTACTTTTATTGAAGAAATTTTTTAAATATAAAAATGTTCTGTTTAAAATGATTAATGTGCATTAACTAAAATTGACCTTATTGAAAAATGTAATTTATATTATCAATAAATTTGTAAAAAGACAATTGTAAAACGTGCACAAAATATTTCATAAATTTCATTATAACAGTAATTTTGTTCTATTTTAATTATATTTCTCCTATATACTTTAACATAATCGAATATTAATGGTGATAAATTGAAAGTAAGTATGACTGTAAGGTAATCTAATCATCATATAAATCCATTTATTCTTTATTTAATGTGTTAAAAGATTAGTAATTTAAATTTATTAACAAATATTTATAAATTTTAATGAATACTGGTAATATTTAAAAAAATATAAACTTAATAGATTTCCGTTTCTAATACCAATAAATTAAATTATTAAAAAGAAACAATATTTAATTAGACTGCAAGTGTACTTATACTACTGTTACAAAACAGCATTAATATAATAGTGTTTTAAAGAGAAATTATTATGGATAAATATAATGATAAATATGATAAAAAATATGATAAAAATGGGAGTTCCCCATATGTAGGGGTAATATGCTCCACTTACTCAAAAAAGAACATAATTTCATATATATATCACAAATAACTCGTAATTTAATACTTTTACAGTATAACAAATATAATTTCGATTAACTACATTAATAATTATAATAAATAGCTTTTTTAAAAAAAAACGAGATAACAAGAAATTTGACAAATTTTATGATTCACATGCAGGATAAGTTTCACTTTCACAACAAATTTCGTGCATTCATTTTTCACATTTGCCACATTGCACCCAATCGCATTTCGATCTTTTCTTACTATAAAAACTTATGTGGCACATAGGACAAAAAAGTCTTCAAAAGTTTCTTCTTCACCAGAAGAATCATCGGAAATGTTCATTGGTTCATTTTTTAAAGAAATCGTTTATTCATCGTTATCCTAAGGTTTGAAGATCCATCGAGCAATTATCACTGAAGACTAAAAGTAAATATTATATATTTTTTATCAAACATTTTTATGATAATTTCAATGTGTTCTTTATATTAAAAATAATTTGTTTTTCATCATTAACAATGAAAATGTAGCGCTTTTCTGTATAGTTCTTAAGATTTCAGAAGAATAATAACGTCATGCGCGCTTCGGACTTTTTCGAGAACTGTCGGCGTGGTTTCGGAACGTGTCTAAATATGTATTGTTAATTTAATATACTTTTATAATTAATGCATAAACAAAAAAATAGAATTTTTTTTATAAAACATATATATATATATAT